TTTTATTTTCTCCAGTAATGAAAGTGAGCACGCAGAGGCATTTGTGCTATAGCTCTAGAATATTGTCCTTTTCTGTGTGCTGCTGATATTTTTCTATTATTTTTTTTTCCTTAATTAGCATGTACATTTGCATCCAATACGAAGTACCCCTGTCTTAGTGGTTTTACTAGAGATTATTACAGTTGGCCATTATGATAAAGTTGATGTTAAAAAAAAATGGTAGCTACTTTACTTCCAGTTCCCAGGCCTTTCCTTAGCTAGGCTACATAAACATTTGCCTGCTGTTTGCCTTGCACAGCCATATATTGTCTCCTTATTGACATGTCTATAATCAGAGAATCACCTCATGACTTTTTGCTGTCCAGAGTTAGCTGCCTTCTGCTCTGTTAGCCCGGTCTGGTTTCATGCTAACATGCAGCTGCCGTTTGCTTCAGCCAACGTCCAAGGCAGACCTCTTCTTCCTGGGCCACATAAAGCTGCTCTCTCACTTTCTAAAGCTGTGAGTGTGATCCACTTTCTCATGACCATGCCAGTTACTGTTAGTTGATGCATATTAAGTTCACTGCAGGGAGTACAACACTAAAAATACGACAAGTATCAGTCTGAAATTGTAGCTACTCTATAACGGAGCTCGCAGCTGTGGGAGCTGACTGAATAGGAGATGAACAGAGATGTTATGAGCTATGACCTCATTTGCACCTATGCTGAATCGCTCTAATAAGGCTAGACGTGGTGCACTGGGTTAAAACGACATCACTCTTTTTATTGGCACCATATTTAACTAAAAGACTTGTTTTGAAATTTTGGCATAGAATAACAAAAACAAAATCTGAACTGGTTTGTTTCCTATTGTGAGAAATAATAGACCATAAAGCTACAATACAATTTTGTCCAATAGAACACTGAAGAAAAACTACTTTGTATTAAAAATATGAAATACATTTTGTAGTTCAAATTCCATTGCTGATTTGTGCAAACACCGTTATATAGTTAATTTCTCCACTGTGAGATTAGTTAGTTTTATATAATACATGTTTGACTTCAAAACTGACACATTTGCAACACTCGCCACTCATACAGGCTCCTCACAGATCATAAGTCTTATAAGTGTCCTTTTAATCTTGACTCAAAACAATCTTCCTTAAATTTTATATAATCCAGCATGTTGACAGCAGCTGCGTGTGTGTTTATGGGGACAGTCCTCTCTTCTCCGCATTCACACTCGGATAAAAACAAGCAGTAATTTTGTTGCTGGCCTAAACTGAAGTCAATTTTTATTTATCATCTGTGTTGTGGATAAGACACAGAAGCATTTAAAGCCAGCGCCTCAGTGTTGGTGTAAACAAGAGCACGTGTGTCATGTGACATGACTCTGGAGGTGCTTTCAGGGGCAGTACATCGTCAGTCAGTCAAATTACTTGGTAGATAAATACTGATGCGCTGCTACATATAAGGACATTTATCTGTCTGTAAATTGGATTAAATGGACATAATAATATAGAATGTCTAAAGTTTATAGCAGATATAACTTGCCCACGTGGACCATCATTTCACCAACATTTAGGCTGATAGGCTGATAGCTGATATGTCTCCAAGTGCCCATATCGGCCGATAATACTGGCCAACTGATATATCAGTCGGGCCCTAATTTGGATGCCACCACATTTTTAAAAGTATACAAATACTGCTGAAGACTTAAACTCGTTCACCCCACAGCTTTATTCTGTGCTGTTCCTGTTTGTCTGACACCCCTTATACTTCCCTCCCTCTCTCCATTTTCTCATTCCTGCTGCCAAATTAAGTGTCAAACAGACATGGAAGGCGGGAGGATGGCCCACATTTCTCATATAGGGCTCTACACAATATGGTACAGTACGTTCTAGTTTGCGCTCTGGTATTTCCCCCTTTTTTTCTCCTGTCCCTCTGAATAAAAAAACCCCAGCCCACATTGGCTCATTAGGCGCTGATTGAGTTGTTATTGTAATTAAGGGCTCCTGTACAGCCAGTGAGAGCACCAAGCTGTCTGCGTATGGGTGGTCCACAGCGGGAGGGCGAGTAACTGAGGGCTTTCGGTCATTGTCCAGCAAGTCTCCAACACCAACTCTGTATTCACGGGTTTTTATCCTCTATAATAGTGTAAACATAAAATCACTAAAACTAATGTCTGATATTGATTAAATGTCCTTGCATGACCTCACCACTAGCCTGTTGTCAAACCTGTCTCTTGTTGGGTAAATAAGGCTATTGTGCCCTCTCCTCTGCCCCTGTGTGGCTGTGTACGTGAAGCCTGTCATGTAACATTGGTCCATAGCAGGCCTCCATTCATGCATGTGATGGCCAACCGTCCTGTGGGTCCCTTACGTCACCCCGCGTTCCTGTCACTGCTCAGGTTACACTCCCCCCCCCCCGCTCCTGGCCCCAACCAAACTCATCCGCTGTACCTTTACTGCTGGTCAAATGCAGCTAAGTGCTAATTCAGCTACAATCATTCTAAGTTGGTGATATAGGTAGACACATCTAAACTTAAATGTGCATTGTGTAACTTTTTTGGTGAAGGAACCGTCACCTGTTTGTTTCTATGGATATGTCATGGCTCTGCCCGGAATTCTCCACAATATGACATTAAACATCTCTACCTTACATTTATTCAATTTCAGGTGATTTTATAGCTCAAAAATACCTAAGTAAACAGGCACCCTGACTCTGAGCGGGGTTGCATCTCCACAGATCTGACCTGTAACTTGGCTTTAAACTAGATTATATTGGTTTAATACCATCCTTTGAACCATTTCAGACAAGCAATAACATTTCCATAAAGAAAAGCATTTAAGGGATTCTCCACCAGAAAAGTTACACATTACACCTTTTAAAAGTGGACCTGTCATAGTAACATATTTTGATATTACTTCAGAAAATAACACTATAAATAACAATATTTAAATTATTTATGCCAATTTAACAGTAACCCTAAAGCAAAATTATCCTAGGAAAACCCTTTCAAATGTTTATTATTGTAAATTGTTGATAGTTGATAATACATTTTGCTAGTGAATCGTTGCTGGTTAGAAATTTTGTGGAAAAAACTTTTTTTTTACAACATATAGCAGGAGGAGTTTTTGTCAAATATTTGTCCCATCTGCTGCTTTGCAAAATACCCGAAGATGACCCCAGCTCACCCACTCTTTATCTTGATCTCTTGTAGTGGCAGGATAGCACAAAATATGTGACTTTCATTTAAATGCATATTACATTGTATCAACCTATGTCCATGTCTATATTGAAATTGAAATTGTTTTTATCGGTGCATTCTTATAATTTTTTTTATGATAAGTGAGTCTCACTTACTTGTTGATCCTGGCATGTTGCATAACATTTGTGTATTGTCATATTGCACAACAGCAGCTGACTGTGGCCTGTGGTCCTGTTTGATGTGACCAGTAGATAAGGCAGAAAGGACTGCCAGGTGTAATGTTGCACTTATCACACTACACAGGAAGAAATATGTTTTTGGCTCAAGTTTCCAAATGTCACCAGTGCAAGGGGTGTGGCCAATCAGCAGGTTTTATTGTGGATATTGGTTTCAGTTGCCCCACAGTGGTAGTAGTAAACATCGTAGTAGCAATTGTACTTTGCAGAACTATTCCACTGATACGCAGTCGGAGTTTGTTCCTGGTTTGTTGACATGTTTGTGTGTGTAATCATTAACAAAATGGGAAGTTAATCTGTAGCCTGCACCTGCACTATGATGGCACCAGTATGTGTCTCTTTGGTCCTGAAAACATACTCACGTACTCTAATTGAAGACCTGTGAATGGTTTATGCTTAATATTATGTTTGAATAAAGCCAGAAGTGTGATGTCTTCTTTTAGTTGTAAATGTCTGTCTCATCAGCTCTTTTAATAAATCATTCGTATTACACCTACATCCTGTCAAACTGAATTTGTTTACACCTCTTGCCTTTGCAGCTGCTGGCTTTGTTATGTTTTGACAATAATTTGTACTGAACTACATTGTCAACAAAAATATTTTGTTAAGTTATCGTGACAGGAATGATTCTCTGAAGACTCTCTTAGGCACAGTTGAAGGAAGAACTGTAAAATCAAACTGACAGAGGCTATTGACTTCATTCAAAGCAAAAATATCACAATTACATATAGTTTAATACAACTCTAGATTCTAATAGGTCTCTGTTGTCCAATGCATCTTGTAGTCGTGTGATGTAAGAGTACTGGCACTTCCCAAAAGCACACTGCTGTGTGTTTGCAGCAGCTAAAGAGTATGAATGAGCTTGGATAAGCGTTTTGCTTCCGGGCTTCATTTCTGTTAACCCTCTCATGCCTGCTTCATTCAGGACAGACACTACCATACAATAATTTTCTCTCCAGAGGCGTGCTAGGGCAGCCAATGAAAATCAAGGCTGTGTGTGTGTTGTGTATGCATGCATCGAGACCAGCAGAGAAACCGAGGGTATGCTTTATGAATGGCTCCACTTTATTGCTACTGATGCTACAGATCATGAGAATCACATTTGTTATTACCACAAATGAGGCATGATTCCAGTAAATCCTCTAAATGTTTGCTTTATATTAGTCATCATACAAGTCTTAAAATTGGCTGTTATGTTTACCCATTGTTCATTGAATTTGAATTATTAAGAGTACAAATGTTGATTGAGATTAAACTGCTAATAGAAACTGAAATTAAAAACAACATATTTGAAAGTAAATATTAGTTAGTGACCCTTTCTGAACAGGTTGTGTATTTGTACCCTGGTCTTACTGGCTAATAATTTTGTGCTCAAGCAAAACACTTACAGAACCTATACTATATGATATTCAGTATAGTATAGGTTTGCTGAAGAATATCTGCATTTCCGTCAGTTTGCTCTAGGACTTTTGTAAATACCACAAATGTGACATGAATATAAGTGAATATAATTAATTATAAACCAATTATGCATGAAAAATATATTAAACCTTTTATTGTGTTCTATTTTTCAGTCTGCCAGAGTAAAGACATCCGGAATAATGTGACAAACCTGCAGGCACTGGGAAACTGCACCATCATCGAGGGTCATCTAAAGATTCTTCTCATGTTCAACACCAAGACAGATGATTTTCGAGGCCTCAGCTATCCCAAACTTCGAGTGGTGACTGACTACGTGCTGCTGTTCAGAGTCTACGGCCTGGAGACGCTGGCACATCTCTTTCCAAATCTGACTGTTATACGTGGCAACAATCTCTTCTTCAACTACGCTCTGGTGGTGTACGAGATGCCGCAGATGAGGGAGCTGGGTCTGCACAGCCTCATGAACATCACCAGAGGAGCCGTGAGGATCGAGAAGAATGCTGATCTGTGCTACCTGGCAACCCTCGACTGGTCCAAGATCCTCGACTCTATGGAAGACAACTACATTGTGGCAAATAAAAATGAGAGGGAGTGTGGCGATGTGTGTCCTGGGACAGCCCAGGGCCTGACCATCTGTCCCCAGAACACCATCAACGGGCACTTCCGTGGCCGGTGCTGGTCACAGGATCACTGTCAGAGAAGTAAGTCAACATGTTTATACTACACCACACATTTATCCACTGTAATTCATCACACATAAAGCTGTATGTAATTCATTACACACAAAACTGCATAGAAGTCTATTGAAGCACATGCTGAGAACATTCACCAGGGATTTTTCCTGCAGAAATCAATGGAGGTGACTGATGTTTTCATTACAAAGCATTTCTGTAATGATCTCAATGATTTCCATGTTGTGGAGGGCTTTGACTAATATCAGTGATCAGAGGTCGTGCAAATGCATTGCCTTCTGCTTGCCAAAGACTGACCCGAGTGATGTCTCATATATTTATAGGTCCGTGGCTGCCTGGTGTGTCAGACAGTTACAGCGTTACTGACATATACAAATAATGCTGTTACTATACGAATACTATATACTATTACTATATAAGTTTTCATCACTCTTTAGATGTGTGGCTCTACAGACAGTGTGTGTCAAATAAACAGAGCTGTGATTTTAGGCTGAACTGGGATTCACTCCCCCTGGCCCTGTATATGCAGAAAGTTGTAAGAAAAAGAAAACATTATTTGCGCATTGCCAAATAAAACTTAGCAATGTTTTCATTATACATTTTATTTTAATTGGTAAACAATGATTTCCCTGCATGAGATTGCTTTTGATATGTTTCCAGCGACGAAAGGTTCAAATATCTGAAGTGGTGTGCAAGGTAATAAGTTTTGTTAACCATTGGTGTTGGGGCGGCAGGTATGACCGTTTACTCTGCGTCACATGATAGGCACCATTTCTAGAACATGATGCAATGGAGTTTTGTGTCAGTGCTGTAGGGGAGAGCTTGTGTTCACCTCACATACAGCTTTAACTGTGTTATTCTTTAATATGTTTGCATGATATCTCCTCATTACAGAACACCATATTTCTGCTACAGAGATTTTATAAAGTCTACAATGTTTAGACAAACAATACACAATAAGCAATACAATAAAGACTGTCTAAAATTTGTAATGCATTAGCTGGGTCACTTAAGTAGATTAGCTGATAGTTGAAGTTGAAGTAGTTTCACTGTATTGCCACAAAACTAAAGTAGTGCTGAAAAAACTGGAAATGTTTAATTAGCGCTTTATGTGAATGAAAGGTTGAGTTTACGGAGGATGCCAAGCCAGATGCACCGTGCAGGGTGGAGGAACATTAGATGGGGCATTAGAGTTTATGCGTGAGTGGAAACTGTGAGGTTGTTTTTGTTGTGCATTTTACAGGGTTCCACTGTTGCCCTAGGTAAGAGCCGGCGGACGCGTAGCATTCCTCTGATCTTGTACAGGCTCCTTATGAGCAGGAAGCGTGTGTGCATGCGTGCATGTGAGTTTGTAAAAGCGGCAAGCATCACGTTTAACTTTGTAACATTTGCATTCAAAATAACCTGAAGAACTGGCAAAGAGCTGTCTGGTCAGTTGTTGACAGTTCTATTGAGACAGTTTACTTTGCCCTTCTTTTGCAATCTACCACCAGTCACTGAGGCTCTGTTTCCAGTTAGTCTGGATAATGTGGGCTAGTGCAGTCAAGAGGTATTTTAAGCTTTACACATGTATTCCATTTAACATTCCTATAACAACTAAGATGAATATTAAAAAATAAAATGAAAAATAATAAAATTGCAAGTGTTGCTTTGGTGTAGCAAAAAAATTGAATCAATTAGAAAAAATGCAGACTAAAAATTAAAAACGGCAAAATAGGAATAAAGTAATATTTATTCAGAACTTTTGTGTTATTATTAGGTTTACTGTCCATTCACATTTTGTGAGAGGCTTGAACCTCAACTAAAACATTTACAAGAAAGTTTTAGCACATTCTCATGAATTACAAAAAAAAATCTTCTGACTTATGTCATCAAGATCATTTAGAAAAATACTGAGTTTTTTCCCAGTATTGCCCATATCGCGCCAAGTACATTGTGTTGTCATTGAACCAAAATATTATTCAAAATGACAACAGAACTAGACAGGAGTATGGTGATAAGGAAACGGCAAAAGTCAGTTTGTTGTTTGCTCTGAATTTATTGAGCTTGAGTGACGCCAGTGCAGCTCATAACACACAAACAGACATAGGCAGCACAAGGCTAAAAGGTTTTCAGGTCAAAGTTCATCCTGCCCTTACCCAGCCTCTTTGATTGTTTTAAAAGCCAGACTCATGCACTAGAATACACTGCACACAGTTTAACCTGTTAGACTAAAGCCCCTCAAATCACGCATCCATATCATGCTCTTGTATCATTTGTTGACACTTTGAAAAGTCCTTTTGAAAATGTATACTTTTGTTTTAGGTTAATTTAGACAGATATAAAAGCATATAATAATTTGTTATTTGTCACACATGTCTTATATTGTCCTTGCATGTTGTTTTCAGCTTTGTTTTTGAGGTTGCGTTGGTAATAGAAACTGTGAATCTGGGCAGTCAGTGTGAAATAAGATGAGTGTCAGCTGAGGCGGCTCGTAGGGGAAGAGCCGAGGTTGGGCATAGCAAAACAAACAGAGCAAAACAAACATGGCGGGGTGTTTCAAGTGTGGCTCCAGGTGCATGTATACTCAAAAAGCACACACGCTTCTCTCCAAATGGCTGGTGGCCAGGCCAGAAGAGGCGTAAGAAAAAGAATAACATTATTAAGGATAGAAGCACTCAATGAAGCATGCCCTGTGCCCACAATCAAACAAAAGCTCTTGGTTAGGCCAGCCTCTTAACTCTCCCTGTAAAAGTACCTCCACTCCAGCGCTGTCCCTCCCTCCTCTGTTCACTCTTCACTGGGGCTGATTCATGTCCTAAATATTTTCTCAAACATGCCACAGCAGGTGTTTTTCAAACCATTGTAATGAAGATTGAATATTTTACATGAAAACTGAACTAGAAAGAGATCTCTGTCAAGAACAAACCTATCACAAATATTATTTAGTCAATTGTCTCCATTCAACCAATGCTAAACCAGACATATTAAAACAGAATTAACCTGTATTTTCCAAGTCTGAAAGTCCATTCTTGGAGTGGACTACTTGTATATATGTCCCTGTGCTGCTGCTGCTTGCTGAACCTTTGCACATACTGTACATTCTCCTGACTCACGGCTGCAGCTCCATCTGGAGCAGAGGCCTGTTGTTTTTCCTGTATACCTCTACCTGCCAATCATCTCTAAGCACTCGCTCAACCTCTCCAAGCACATTTACTCACAAAGGATTTTTACACTGGGCTCCAACAGTTTCATTTAAAAATAAAAGCAAAAAAAAAATTGGTCTCTAGACTAACAATAATACAAGGATTAGATTTTAGATTCACCTGTAATTGTTGGCTCATAATGGTAATTTAAGTTTCTCAGGCTTCGTTACTGTACATTTGTGTTGTTATTTGTGGTGGCTCATCTGACAGACACACTCTCTGGTCTTTGTATTACCATAAATATCTTATAAGGGGCAGGAAGTGAGAGAAAGAGACCAAACTCCTGCTTGAGACAATAAAAGAGCCATATTGAGACAGATGGAGAGGTAGTGTTTTCGCCTCTGGCGGTCTCCATCTTTGTTAGCATATCCAAGTGAACTTTGATAGGCTGGCATCAGTGCTGTGTAGAGACTTGCCTATGGCCTCCTTTGCCCGTCCTGTGGGTGACTCTAGTATAGGCTGTGCTAACTGATGCTAACTTAGCATCTCGGGATGCTAAGTTGCTGCTTACTAGGCCCATGAACTACAGAAATATGTTAAACATGCAACTGTAGTTTTACTGTAAAGTAAAGCACATTCAAAAGCATCTACCTTATTGTGATGGCTGTATTTTTGTGTCCCACTGATCACACAACCATGTCATGCACTTAGCATTTATTTACTGAAATACTCAAATAAAGTCTAAAAATCATTAATATTCAATTGGTGACAGCTTTTCTACTACTATTCAATCTGCATTTGGAATTTTTACAATCTGCAGTCTGTTTGATAATTGGTTATCTGCATACTCAATATTTACCATGCATTACTACTTCTATCACATGCTCCTGGCAGAGTACATAAGTGCTAGAACGCAGGGGCTTCTGAGGATTCCGCGCGATTACTTACTAATTATTGTCTCATTCCTGTGTGATTACATGTCCCTGGAATCTGCCCAGTGTTTCTCAGCTGAATCCATGTATGATGGAAGTGTACTGGCAGGCCAGGGCTTGTTACTGCTGAACCACCTCTAATGACTTCCTCATTACTTCCCCTCTTTGTCCAAACCACTTCCTACTGCCATGCTTTATCACTGGACCCATGGGGGCAGCACTGTGTTTGATATGATGTTACATGTGGTAAAATATTGTAAATAAAGAGATTGTGCCGTAGTTCAAAGATGGTAGAAAACATGTAGCAGAGAATGATTGAACTGAGTGCCCTACTGAGGAGTATAACAGGAGACTCCCTCTGGTCAAGAGATGGCAGATTGTTTTCAGGTTTTTGAACAGATCGAATAGCCAGCTTCCAGCTTTGACATCTACACTACTCACCACCCGTTAGGAAACACAACGAATCCTTAATCGCCTTGTTTGTACTACCACTACCACTTCAGAACGCATTTGTGCCTTGCTCAATGGAAATAAAAAACCCTAAGCACGATATTAATTCTACTAACAGATTTCCTCAAAAGGGTCTCCACAAACCCAGTAGTCATCGTAACTCTGTCTTCATTTGAAGCTTAACAGAGTCAGAACCCTTTGTACTTGTTAGAGAAATGTCATTCTTAAGCTTCCTGAAATTTCAGAGTTTTACAACAGAAATCCAGTGGCTGTAAGTAATATGGTATATGCCATTAATGGAACTGATACAGATTTGTCCCAAGCATATTGCTCTTCTGTTTATTTCTGCCTCGTTTGATCACATGTTTCAGTGCAACCAACAGGAAATCGTCAATATCGAGCGCTGGAAGTGCACTTTGGCTTTCCAGAATTGAGTTTGATTGTCCTTGCCTGACCTCCACATCTTTGAAGTCATTTTCTGATGCAGCACTTCCATGTACTT